GATGTTCAGTGAACCAAAGTTACCGTGCTTACGACTTCACTGTCAGACTTCTGACCACCTTGCCTCCTCTATTACAAAGTCTCAAACATTTGAATTTCTGCATTTCTGACAGGATGGAGCCTATTTTCATGTGTTGAAGATTCCCTGTGGTGTCTTAATATTGCTACTGGCTGGAGGTGGCGGAGGAAGGAGCAGGGATTGGCAGAAGAAAAGAAACTGTCCCAAGGTCCTTAAAGGAGTTAGGAAACTGGAGACCACGAAAAGCAGCTGTTGCTGGGGAAGGACACTCACCAGGAAGGAGAATCTGGCGGAAATCCCAGACCCTCACCCTGAGCCTTCAGCCTCCCCCACCCCACCTCAGGCCTCCTAGCTCCCAGGAGCCCCAGGCCACACCAAGTTTTACCCAGTTTTATCCACAATAGGAGTTTTCCTCAGCACACACATAATTCCTAAGGGTAACTTGAGAAATGAGTAAAATAAAAGATAGCATATGTTTAATTTGTAATTAAGTGAACGTTCAGACAACATTGTTTTCAATTCAAGTAATATCGTACAGTTGGCCAACTTGAGAAAAACAGATGGGTGGCTATCTTCATCTTTCTAAATATTTTCTAAAGAGTTAAGACATGTTCCTAGCGGGAGGTTTATAAAGTAAGATTCTATTTTCCTGCTCTTTGAGTGAAGCATTGCATTTTTTGTGTGTGAGAAAAGGGGGTTATCTATTTCTTCTAAAATGCCTTAATGAATGGAGAAAGATATGGTTAGGTTACAGAGTACAGCAACATTTGCTTTTGGCATCATTATCTGGGGAGTTTTGTGCTTTTCTTCCTGCTTTGCCTTATCTCTTTCCCTTTTCACAGTTCACACTTACACAAACTGTGTCATTCATTGTAATGATAAAGCAAGTACTGAGTGTTTAGCTTTCATTCTTGTCCTTGGATGTTAGAACTGACAGCTTAGCACCTCTATTACTTTTTATCGGTGAGTCATTGCCCTTGCCAGCACTCAAGATAAGAAAGTCTCACACTTGCCAGAGGGGGAGGAGGGAACAGGAAAACTAAAAAGAGCTCCTAGGCTGGGTTATACCAACCGTAATGGACGGATGGTAGGAGGCTCCTTTGAAAATGGATGGGACTTGCCATTCACCAGGACAAAATTATAAATGAGAAGCTGTCTAGGGCTGATTTAGGTGATTACCAATGGAGAGTGAATTTTCAACCACGTGGTTAACCAGTGTAAACCTCTGAAGGAATAGATTAATCCAAAACTCTCTCTCATTTTAATTCAAATATTAAAAGACCCCCAGTCAAAATGAATTTGACTATCTCACACTAAATCCTTGTTTACGAGACTAGCCACAAGAACTGAGAATCAACATTTGCTGCTCCTTATTGTGTGTGTATGCCCAGAAAGACTACATCAGGAAAGGGTCACAGGTCAGGGTGTTTGAGGGTCATTGTTATTAATGGATTGATTTTGGGATATGAAATAGAATTTCATGGTTTTTTCCCCTTCAACTACAGACCATCTTTCCTGGGACTCTGCCTTCACTCCTACTGTCGAGGCTGTATAGAAGCAGCTGCACAGGGCTGCGAAGGATCTCAAGGATGTTCAGTACTCACCTGCTCAGGTAAGTGAGCAGTGAGACATCTGTCCTGTGTTTCTTAAAGAGTTTGAGAAGTCCGTGACAGTGTTACACTGATTTAAAGTTCCCATGTGAAACTGGTTTCCATCTCTAATGACTGCACGGCTGAGGATGTACTGAGGCAGAGAGGAGCCGTTTGTAACATGTGCTACATCTTTTCTATGTCTAGCTTGCTCTCTCACCAACCACGTGAGGTTTTCAGTAAGTGTGAGCCACACCCATCAAAATCCTCAGCTGATTGATTCCCAGTTATGATTACTTTAAAGTGGAACAAGCATTTAAAGATGCCCACAAACCAATCTGTGCCAAGAAACATCCTAGATTTATAATTTCTCCCCAGTTTTTACAATTGTTTGCCCATGTCTAATTTCACAGCCTCACATTGAAGTGATTTCCTTTAAAGAATCTTTCCTTACCTTCAAATTCATTACTATAGACATGATGTTACTTTCAGATTGCACTTGTACTTATTTGGTTTACACAATAATTTAATTGTGTAATACTACATGTAAACAAGTCTGCAGCTACTATGGATCAACATCCGACCGGAGGAGCAAACATGCAGAGTGTAGCAGGGAGGGGCTGGTCGCCTCCAGACTTCAGGTGGTCCTAGGCATTAGTCAGCAGATCTTACAGAGAGAACAGACAGTGACTGCTAAGTCAGCAAACTGAGGAACCGAAATCAGATACAGTTTTTTTTGCACTCCCAACTTACAGAAGGAGAAACTGAGATATTGAAAGTTTAAATAATTTAATCAGCATCACACATCTGGTGAAACCCTTAAAGGATAGAGAGGCCACATGGTGATATGGAAATTCTAAGCATTATCTAGGAAGTAGTAGAGTAAAAATGGCCAGTTCATTCCAGTGAATACTGCGTGTGGTGGGTGGGAGTGCACTGGAGGAATAGCTAAAGCAGGGCTCAGGGAAGCTTCCTTCCTAAGAGGGATGCTCAATAGAAATGCAAGTGAACCAGGCAAAAGAAGGGCAGAAGAGTGCCCTGGGCAGAGAGACCAGCATGTGAAGGAAGGCCTAAGGCAAAAGTGCGTCATGGGAAGAGAATTGCAAGTAGTTCCTAGAGTAAAAGGGAGATGATTAAATAAAACGAGTTCAAGAGATAAGCACAGGCCAAACATGCACATAAAAAGGCTGCACATGTCACTCGTAAAAAAGTAAGCTTCATTCTGCAGACAATGGGAGCCTGTGAAAGGAATTAGGCAGTTGAGTCACAGGATCAGATTTGAGCTTTTGGGATATTATTTGACTGCACTGTGGAGAAAGGACTGGAATGCCAGCTAGGAACGAGGCTATGGCAGTATTCCAAGTGAGAGCTGATGGTGGCCTGAGTTTACATAATGTCTATGGAGATAGAGAAGAGATATATTCAGTTGCTAGCTTCATTGGGACTTGCTAACTAATTGCATGTACAGGTGGTGGTGAAAATGAGGAAATGGTAAGTGTGAATTAGGCACCTGGGCCAGTAGTCATCTGGACAGAGGGAGGTATCCTTTGAGATAGTACAGTCATGAGGAAAAGCAGTAGGTTCAGGGCTGGTGGTGAAATTTAATTCCAGCCATGTTACATTCAAACATCAATCTGAGATGACCTGCGGATGTTTGAACATATGGCTCTAAAGTTTAGGAGAAACATCTGGGCTAGAAATATGTAAGTATCATATATCAGTAAATATCAGTATGTGGATATAAATGGAACTCACAAAAGATGAAATAATATAAAATAGTGTAGAATGGGAAAAGAAAATGAGAAAAATCCACCTCCAAAGTTATAACCTATCTATTTCTGACTATCTCTGTCATGTGGGTGACGTGTCAATCAGCAAGCCACTGTATTCCTGCCACCATTCTTACGCATAATGACATGTATAATGGCATATTTCTTCTTAAAAACTCCAATTCGCTAAGCCAGATTTTCTTTATTTGAAACAAATGGGGAAGACTGAGCTGGGAAATCCATAGCATGACTGTGGTGTGTCTTGATCACTCCCAAGTAGGCAAACTGATCATTTGAAAACCAAGGTGTCATCATTATAAATATTTTCTAAATGTATGTCATCAAAAACAGTGGTGGAGTCAATGCTATGGTGACTGGAAAGAAGAGGATGGGATATCCTATGTGAAGTAGTACACTTCCATTCAACTTCAAAGTGAGTCTTTTCTCTCCATGAATGGAGGTGTTTATATAGGTGATATGCTACAGTGGAAATCAATGGTCATTGGAGTTAAAGTCTCAATTCCACAAGCTATCCCCATTTCTCAATAATGAAAAGTTTATGTGGCTCAAAAGAATGCTTTGGTAAAGAACATGCAAGAAACACTGAATGCAAAAGTAGAAGTTTAAAATGAGCTTCCAGCTTTTACCACAAACAGGTTCGCTACCTTCCTTGGGTCTACCCACCCCTCTTTGTGTGGGAGGGCCTCCCCAGATGTTCCCTGAGGTGGCCCTCTGCCCTGCAATCACCTGGAAGAGTAAGTCAAGACACAGATTTCATGAGAAAGTCCAGTGTGCTGAATCCACCCCAGGATGAGGAGGCAAGAAAGTACTTCCAGCCTGGTAGCATTCTCAACCAGGGCTAGTCATCACTCAAAGCTCAGGTGGACCACACATGGTACATATATTAATTTTTCCTCCTAGGTTTTATTTTGCTCTAAAATGTAACTGTGTATACCTTTATTATTTCTAGCTATTACATGCAACTTATGATTGCCATCGCAGTTTATTAGAAGGTCATTTCTCATCATTTCCTCCAGCTCTGTCCAGCTGGCTATTTGTAACTCAATATACTATTTCCAATACCATGGCTTTTACGTTATTGTTTTTATTTTTGGAGCCAATATTTAGAAAAACCCAATCAGTGTTAATGTTAAAGAAAACACTTTCTTTACTTTCTTACTTTCTTTTCTTTCACTGAAACCATTGTTCATCTGTGACTAGTAGGACAATTGAAACATTTTTTAAATTTGGAATTGAAAGTTTTTCTGGTAACAGCTAACTTAAGGTTACTCCCCGGTGTTCCATAAAAAACTTCCAACTCCGCGAGCTGCCCTAATATTTGTGCACTTGCTTTCTCACTCCCTCTTTCTCTTCAACTCCATTTGATATGTTTCCCAGGATGTAGTGAAGACTTCTGGACCAAGAGGCTGGAAAATGTAACCCTCAATTTCCTACAATCTCAGCTCCACTTTCTCGTGTGCTCCGCCCTGGGCTTGGAGCCCTGTTATTGTCACGTGGTCACGGACGCCTGGGGCCTGGCTGGCCAATGGAGGCGCGCGGGTCACTAAAGACCCCGCCCCCCGACTTCTCCGAGCAGGACTTGGCGCTCCACTGCAGCGGGGCGGTGAAAAAGTTTCTTTTGCGGGCAAAAGGGCCTTTGGCGCTCCGAGGGTTCTCCTACTGCAACTCTGCCGCAGTCAGCCTTTCTTTTTGGTTTCCCTCACACTGCTCCGGGGCATGAAAAGGCTTCGTCGTTGAGAGTAAAAGAAAGGAATTTACCTGGGAGTACGAGAAGAGGGTGCGCACCCACTGTCCCCTGGAAGTTTGCCCCGGGTTCCAAGTGCGTGCGGGCTGCAGAGCGCAGGGCCGCCCTAGAGGCCGCAGGACCGTGATGGGTGCCCCGAGACTCCGCGCGCCAGCTGCCGCAGCTCTGGGCTTGCTGCTGTGCGAGGTGCTGGGATGTGCGGGTCCGGCCGAGGGCAGCGGCCGCGGGGTCCCCCAGGACCGCCTGTGCCCGGTTCCCTGTCGCTGCCTTGGGGATCTGCTGGACTGCAGTCGCCAGCGGCTGGCGCGCCTTCCCGAGCCTCTCCCGCCCTGGGTCGCTCGGCTGTAAGTATTCTTCCTGAGGGCGAAGGGGGAGACAGCCAGGGGCCTGGGCACTTGGCGCGCAGCAGGATTTTCCCGGGCAGCTCATCTTGGCCCAGGCCTCCGGTGGTGCTTGGTGGGGTTGGAAAAGGAGCCATCGGGGCCTCAGTCTCCCTTCCCCAGTGCCTTGCGGGTCGCGCTGTGGGCCCTGGCACAGCCCACCAAGCCTCAGATCGGCGAAGGGAGGGAGCGAATGACAGCTCTGGGGGTACAGTCAACATCCCGTGAGTGGAGCTTTCCTAGGGGGTTCAAATACGCGCCCCTGCCTAGCTGGAAGAGGTGGCAACCTGCGAACTACCGGAGTTCTCTGTTCTCTCTCTGAGTGTATAGGGTCTGTCACTCAACTAGTTTCTAACCACTTCAGGCCCGTTTTCCTGTACCTGTCTAGTCATTGAACGTGCCACTGTCCAAGCTGTGGTAGACATCCTTTTCTTATTCTTTTCTCCTGTGCTCCGTAAATCCCCCCTCCTCGACCAAATTGTAACATCTTTTTTCTGGTAAGAAGTTGTCAAGACTGATCAGTGGACAAGGAAAGGAAGGTGCGAGAGTTTTCAGAACCAAGGGCTTGATTTCTGAGCTTCGTAGCACGCCCAGACAGTTTAGGAGAGAGTGCTGGGTGCTGTTATGCAAGTTTTTGGATGCTAGCTGTGAAGTCTGAAAACCTGAAATCACTGCCAACTGCCTGCAAGAACAAGGAAAAAAAATGTATTTTAGTTGGAAAGGCTGATTCTTTCCAAATGTCATCTCTTTATTTTCTCTCAGCCTTAGTTTTGTTAAAATTGGATAACTGTAAAATGTAAACAATCAAAACTCGTGCTTTAAAAAAAAGTTATCTGTTTAAAAGAAATAAAAGTAGTGTATCCTTAATCCTTAAATTTGGATCTAGCAGAATAGCAATGAAACTTGTAAATTCTTAAGCAATTCTAGTAGATTATCCTAATGTCCTAGTGATAGTGGTAGGAAGAAATTGCATTTTTATAGCAGTGTGCAAATCAAAATTTTTGTGAATTGTAGAGTTGTTGACCATCAAAATCATATTCTTTGTGTTAGTAAACCTTGGTTTAATTAAAAAGTAGAATTGGAGAGTTTTAGATTGATATTTAATCTCTTATCAGGGGATGTCTTGTTTAGTAGTTTTTATTACAATTGAAGAAGGAGATAAGGGCTTTAACCCAAAGCAGGAAGACTTTCAATTAGTTGTGGCTAATTCTATTCAATTGCCTCTTGTGGAGGTCATGCTGCCTTATTCATGAAATGTGAATGGCTCTATTGACAACATATGGAACTGAACATTTGAATGACTGGAGGTGAACACCTAAATAATAGAGGGATGAGAAAAAGAAAAGGAGTAGAGTAGTGCTTCCTGGGGTGTGTTTCAAGAGGCTTGAATTGTTTGCAAATCTAATTTATATTCAACAGCTTCACCCTATTAAGTGGACTCTTATCATGCAGTGCCTATTTTTGTGAATTTGGATGCCTTTTAAAAAATAACTGTATTGCTCTTGATTAGAAGTTGAATTAGACCAAAAGGGGCTTGATACCTATTTAAACATTGTCTTAAAAGTAGCTGACCTAATTAGGTTTTGTTTTGCAGATAATTTGGTGGCATACTGAAAACAAATTACAGTTTATTTGGTTAGCACAATCTTTAATTACATTTCCGCCAGCAGTAAATTGTCTCAATACAAGTCTACATTCCTTAAATGTATGTGAAAATAAGTTCCACTTGTGTAAATAAGCACTAGGTCTGTTGTCAGAAGCCCCACTGTGATCACTCATTGGACAGCTCTGTCATTCTTGTACTTGTGTGACTTTTAACCAACTTTGTAGTTGTCACCAAACCATGTGGTCTAAATTCTTTATTGTAAATGTTTCCTTTGTTTGTGTCTAAAACTGGAGAGGTCTTCTCTCTCCAACTCTGAAAGGACTTGAGAGAAAAAACACGAGGAATTGAGCTTTAACTTTTCTGTTTCTTGATGTTTGAAACAGGCAGCAGAAGGTAGCTGCTTCTTAAATTTTACAGAACGAGATAAGCTTTTAAGTAGATTGTTTCATTGTTTAGAAATAACTAGAAAAATGCATATTGTTCTTCCCATATCTTAACTTCCTCTCATTAGGTAATTAAAGTAGTAAAAGTTTGCCTTAGGACTAGCTTATGAGGGCACTATTCAGAAAAAGTTTGTCTGCCTTTTGTCGTGTTTGTTGAATAAGCAAGTTAAAAACTCAATCTTTCTATTATACCTGTGTATTTATTTTTTTTCACTTTACTCAATTGCAATTTATTGCTGCAGGAACCCCATGTGTGACAAGTTGAATAGTTTAAGCTGTAATGTAATAATACTGTAGTTGGTTCTCCTTTTAAAAAGTAGCTTCTAATACTTTATTGAAAGGGGCTCTTAAAATTATTTGAAGGTTGCTTACAACTAACTGCCTTAAAGCTAGACTTGAGTTTGCATCTAGAGTTTGTGCTTACACAGAGTCCTGAGCCTGAAGAAGGGTGTTTGTTAGAATGTGTTACTCAGCCGCCAATGAAAACTTCAAGTATTATTAAAATCTCGCTGGAATTTCAATATTATTTATTGTATCGCTTAAAAATGTTTGAGTTAGCAGGGCAGAAAAAGTCCGAAAGGTACTTTCTACTGGTGGGGTTGCTTTAGTATTCGCCTGTTATAAATCCTCTGGTTGGTACCAGAATTGGGCCTGGGGTGGTGGGGGTAATGGCCCTTATGGTTTTCACAGCTGTTTTTCTATATTTTCCAGACTAAAACTTGAACATAGCAGGCTGATTTATGAGTCACTTTGGATCAGTGTCTTAAAACAGCTACAGCCTGGCTTTTTGTTTTCCAGCTTTCCAGATTTCTGCTGAATTAGCAGCTCTGCAGGCCCCAGTGGGGTTGATTAAGAAGCTGTGCTGGATTTGCATTTTAAAATTGGACTTGGAAGTCAGATTTCCAAATGCGAAAAGGAAGAAAATGATAGCTAGAACCCAATGTTGGAAACTAATTATTTTCTTATATATTTATTTGCCTGCTCATATTCAAGAAAGAGGCTTCTTTCTACCAAGTAGAGTTTGATTTTCAAGTATTTGGTCAGCTGAGTTCTGGGTAAATAGTTAACACCTCTCTGCCTGACCACCTTTCCATTAACCTCACTACCAAAAGTAGTTTTTAAAAGGTTCTTGGTAACACTTTGTAAAGGATGATGATTGTCTAACCACTATGTATAGCTGTACACCTGAAACTAACACAAAATAATATTGAGTCTAAATGGCAAATAAAAAAAGAAAAAAAATTAAAGGCAAAAAAATTGTTGCACACTTAAAAAAGATATATCCCTATGTGTTTTATGTTTCTTACACTATTATAAATGATTTATTTTCAAAAGTTTCTTGGTGAAGATGTTCATTAATAGGACTCTAAAAATGAAGAATCTGCCTTTCTTATTGAATGTTCTTATGGGTTTTAACAAAGAATTAACATTATGCAACTTGAATTTGTTTTTGATATTCTAGCCACAAAAACAATGTAAGGAAAATTTAGGGTAATGTGACATCCTTGTACTGGAAAGTAATCACTTCTGAAACATAAACTGTATTAAGTCTAAATTTAGGTGCATTAAAAATTTCATGGCTTTAAGTATTTAGCAGTAAAAGTCACTTAAGGGGCGATTTTTTTCCTCCCACATATAATGTGGTTTTAATAGTAGTACACAAAATTCAACAATGGAAGTGTTGCAATAGCTGAAATATTTAAGGTTACCAAATCTTGCTTCAAAATCACAAGTGAGTGGTCCTCAGCGTGTGCTCTGTTCTCTGGAGGCAGTTTCTCAATTTAAAGGTCTTTTGTTGGAGTTCTCATCCCATTGCTGGTTGAGAAAAATGTTAGGCACTCAATCTCTTTTCTTACAGGATTGCCCTGTGAAATAATCCTTAAAACGAAGTGAAGAGTGAGGTTTTAGTTTGTGTAATTAAAAGGCAAATCACCTGTGTTAAGTGTCAATACCAGATTGGTTCCCCCTTTCCTCTTAAAATGTGAAACAATAAGGGGATGCAGTTTTATGCCGGTTCAGTGTTTAGTTAAGTGGGTCCGAGTGAGACTTTCTGTTGATTCAGGCTACCTCCCAGGTGAAGGACTCTTTTCCTTGGTTGTTTTTTGAGCCCTGTGGGAAATCTGTGACTGTCTGTGGTGCTAAAAGCACACAGGTTTTGTTTGAGTCCTAACGTGAGTTGTTGGGCTCACGGTTTCCTTGATGAACTCCAGATGGACCTGGGCTGGTTTGTGAGGGAAAGTGTCTGGCTCCAGCGTGGTGAGCATGCACAGCAGTGGTTGTAATTGCAGGATTTTTATAGTTTAAAGGCGGTGCCAGGTTTTTTTTCATGTTATAACTCTACCAGAACAAATCTACTCATGTCTGTTACTGTCTGGTAGGTCTTTAGGCAAACATGTTTCAAATAAAAAAACCTTTGCAGATTTTTTTTTTGGTGAAATAGAGAAATCCAGGTTTATTCTCAAAACAAAATTCAAAGGTTGAAAGGCTCTCTGATTTCCAATTGTTAACTAATGGGCGTACGCTAAGTAACACTGTGCTTCTCTGTGATTTCTCTGCCTTGTGCAGGGCGGGGGGCAGGGGGCATACTTATGCATATAACAAATGGTTCATGCTTTTCTCCAGTCAAGTTTGGTTATTTGAAACTTTGGTTATTTAAAAACCATTTTCCAACACTGAGAGAACTTAGTGAGGTTGGTTAGCCTCTTTCACGGGGAGAGCTTCAAACCACACTGTTGTTAGCCTGGTTTTCCATAGCTGTGCAGCCACGTTACCTTCGTCACCCACCCTGAAGGCACCTACTCAGTGAATGACAAGTATGAGGAGTAGAACCCAGTGTTTGGCAGGTTGAACTCTGTAGTTTGAATCTTCAGTGCTATGATGACTTCCTAGCCTAGAGTATTGTGTACGTAGGAGTTTTATTGTACTTTTTTTAAGAAATAATGTTTAATGGCAGTTGTTACTGTTTACTGTTTGATTGAGTCTTTGAGTAAGCAGCAGAGCTATTTTAATGATTGAAGAGGAATCTGATCATAGTGTTCTGTACATTCTGCTTAACTTTGTTAGGTAGTTATATTACCAGATACTGAGATTGGGGAATTCAGGAAAATATAGGGTTGAGGTTGTTTTCCACCCTCAACACACACACACACACACACACACACACACACACACACACACACAATGATACTTTCAATAATTTGGTGCCTTAGCCCAGAGAAATAAATGTGTGAACAGCACTTTCTATTTTGTTTGACTATCATAAGGACACTGATGTTTCATATTTTATAATAAAAAGGTTCCTTCAGAGGTTTTCGTTTTAGCAACCTGCCTAATTAGCCACTTTTCACAAGCCATGACTTCATCATATCAGGTTGGAAGTTGGGAGATGGCAGGGAATCGGGAAGGCGAAGCCAGACAGCCAGCTCACAAAAGGTCGGTTCACCCTGTGCCAAAAACATCTCCTAGGACGTTTGCGGGCCTGAAGCACTCGAATCTGCCAGCCTCCTACACTAATTTTGTCCTCAGCGTTCATATTTTTCAGTGTGGCGTTTTGGTTCCCATCTAGTTTATGAGCAGGAGGGGCAGTTTATTTGTGATGTTTCACAGATCTGCTGTGTCTTGTACATCATTGAGTGCTATACGTGATTTTTTTAAAACTACTTATAATTTTATTTTTGTTTTCTTATAGGGACTTAAGTCACAACAGATTGTCTGTCATCAAGGCAAGTTCCATGAGCTACCTTCAAAGCCTTCGCGAAGTGTGAGTCTTAGTTTTTTTCTATTTGATGTTTGATTAAAATATAACTACCTATTACACTATTTAACTGTAAAGACCATTTGGATTACAATAAATTATTTAAAATCTAATTTAGGAGGTATGTTTAAATACTTTTACAAAGTTTCACCTCTATGAATTACAGATTACCTAATCAGCTTCCACCCCCCACCCCCTTTTTTTTGGCACTTACAGGAAACTGAACAACAATGAACTGGAGACCATTCCAAATCTAGGACCAGTCTCAGCAAATATCACACTTCTCTCCGTGTAAGTGAATGCTAGCAAGGTTACCTGTGTGCATTTGTAATGGAGGTATTCTTTAAATTAGTTGACTTGTTTTCCAGCTCCAGTCTCTGCTGAATTCGAAGTACTATAACAACACACTTTTTACACTTTGCTGTCATTGCTAAACTGGCCTCTAAGATTCACAGAAGCCACCTGCACCCCATAGAGACATGTATTTGGTTATGTTCTGTGGCCTAGGACTTCACCTCTGGTATTACTTCATAGTTGGCATGGCGTCTACAGGTTAGGTATTATTACATAGTCACTGGTGGAGAACGTTGTTGTTTTGTGAGAGGAAATGTGAGTTTTTTAGGAAGACATTGGAGTATCTTCTTTTAGTGTGGCAGCTGGAGTGTAAATCAAGGTCAGAAACATCTAATCAAAATACGAACTTTGTACAGTTAAAACTAAATATGTGGTTGAAGTTAGAAATACCATTGCCTGTTATTTTGCAAATAGGAGTTTTCAAATAAAATTAAAATTCTGTTAGCTTTTGTGTATGTCTGGGCCAGATAACATTTTATTCATGTACTGAACATGTTTCGGAATAATTTTGACTTTCAGCTTTTAAAGGCAGCATTCAGAATGTGCATGGTTTAATTTCTAAAATTAAGTAGTTAACCATCTTAATCTTGAATGATTTAAAAATATATTTGACCCACAGAAGTTAAAAATGTTTTCTTCCTTTAAACAAGGGAAGGAAAAAAACTACCATTGTTAGGTGCTTCTGTGAAAGGTGTTGGGAGGGTGGAAATTATACAGTAAATTTCAGGAAAGCTGTTCAATTAATTAAAGTGATCACTACCCAATTGCTTACATCTGGTGATTTATAGAGGTTTGTTTTTACTTAAGGCCCAGGTCAGCTAAGTCACTGGTGCAGCCGCTGTGTCTGCTTTCCTCTGTTTGAATAAGAACTAAGTGACATTTGATACTGATGTGGTTTTTCCAAAGATCAGAAACAGAAAGGAATGAGAGAAAAAGCAGTTGGTATTTGACAACTAAACACTGAATTCAAAAAATATTTTTATGCTAACATTAATACCTGTTTTCTGTCTTTCACAATGGCTTAAAATTGTGGAGTGTACATGAAGCGCTGACTTCGGTGTCTTAAACATCTTCGGCTATTCTCCTTTGACCAGTGGGGCCTTTTTGAAATCTCAGGGAACGCCACTTCGCCCTCCTGTCCTTTCCCTGTGTGTTGGCAGATGCTGTCAGCATGTCCGAGAAAGCCTTGCAGGGGGTCATTGCACGCTTCAGGGCTGAGGGCGTTTGCAGGGGAGTTTCAGAATCTGGGTGGGGTAGGGAAAACAGTCTTCTCTTCAGCTTCATGTCGAGTTGGAAGCACATTAGCAGTAAACTTGTAAGTAAATTATAAAGTTCTGTTGAAAAACATAACCTAGTGATTTTATACTTTAAAGCTATAATTTGTCATTAGAAAACTGAAATAAAATATGGAAAGTTAGAAACGTGCAAAATGTGAAATCGTCTTCATATTTTGTTTGCGTTTCACTTTAGTAAGTGCTGAATAATCTTTTTGGAACTTGAATAATCTCACTTTCTTTCCTCTTGATCTGCTGCAGCACCTCTAACCAGGGATTGCTCTGTTCGTCCATGTAATGACGCATCCCGTTTATCACCCGAAACCACATGCAGTCTATGTGGGAAGTAATTTCTGTGATGGGCCTGCTAATTCATTATCGATAGTGAAAAACTCTTTTTATACCTATGAAATATCTTGACAAGTTTACTTCTCTGGCTGTTTCCTTCTACAGATGTCTCCTTCTGTAGGCTTCTTTGGGCGTTGCAGTGTGCAGTCCTTGCCTTTAAAGCGCTGCTACTGTCTGCCTTGTGCTGTGTCCGCTGGACATTTTCTTTTATACAAGAGCCCTTGAAAATAATCAGCCAAAAGTCAGTACTTACACATTTCTGAAATACCAAAAACAAAATCTGTTAAACCACATAACATGAGTCAGATGAGAACCATGCTGTAGCACCACCATTCAATGCCACATCTTTCAAAGCAGTTCTTAGGATTATATGACTTTTATTCTGTCAAGATTTTTTTTAATAGTTTGTGAAGGAAATCATTTTTTCTGGGTAATTTGCACAAGTTAAATTATTTTAAACATATTAAAGACAAGGAAAAATTTGTTGTAGTCTTGAACACAGGATTTGGTGCCAGAGTTACTGTTGCTGTTCTGGGCAGTGGGGACCCCTTCCAGCTGGGGGTGGGGGGCGGCGAGGGCTGGTGAGGGCTGCATGCAGAGAAGACTCTCGGGTAAGACCTTTTTCCTCTCTCAGCTGCAGGAGCCAGGAGCTACTATTGGGTCAGACGGCACCCCATGTCCAGAGATGGATTTATGTGAGGACCAGTTCTGATGTCAGGGAAACTTGGCAAAACACATCATAGGTTGACCATTGGGTGGACAATGAACCTCCCCAGTAAGAAAGCTCATCTCTTAACATTTCTAGGGATTTTTCAGAATATAAAAAACCAGAATAGACTTGCTTATCTTTGAATCCCACACAGCACCAGCTCAAGTCAACTGGCATTCTAAGGGCAAGACTTGGTTTGGGTTTTTTGTTTATTTTTCTCTCACAATTACTTCCTACCAGTGACAGGATGCTGTGTTTTAGGAAAAGAAATGGAGTAATCTTTGGAATGAAGATATTTTGTAGTAAAACCGTTGACCTGGCATAAGTGAGTGTGCTCACTGAAGTGACTGCTAGTTCTGGCCTCCTGTGACATGTGTGAGCTGCTCAAGCCATGGACACTCCTGAGCCCTGCGACCTGGTGAGGGTCTGGTCCGAATCCCTGAGTTATGTAACACTGGTGTTGAACAAGAGAGGAGTCGTTGGTCATTGAATAAAGCTAGTGAGTCTTAGCCTTGACATTGATGGTTTGTATGGTATTGCCCAACATGCTGATGCTTGCCTGTCACCTTAGAGATGGAAAGGTTTAGGTGAGTGAATGGCTAAGAGGTACCTAGATTACTTGTTAAAAATGTGGATTTCTCGACCCTGTCCCTAGAGATTCTAAATTAATGGGCCAAGAATATCTATTTTAATGCATCTACCTGGCTGATTCTAATCAGAAATTGTATAAATATTTCTGGAATTACTGACAGAGTCCAGTTATCATAGTCAAATAAGCCTTCACTCATTATTTCTTATCTCGGAGGTAGAACATCTCTCCCAAGTTCATCATTTTCTTCATAATACGTTATATTTCCAGAAACGGCATTGTCATCCTTCCAAAGAGGTGGTCATGAAAATCTATCACCTTTGTGGGTGGGACCCCAAAACATGTGCTCAAATGAGGGAAAGCCATTGAAGAGATTTCAAGCAGATTGCAGTGGCCAGACTTGCTTTTTGGAAGTGCCACTCTGGCTTCCCTGGGGAGCATGGCTGTGGGGGGCAGGTGGTTCTGATGGCCAGCCATGAGGAGAGCACTGCCACTGGCCAGGAGAGAGGGTAGTGCCCCGGCTCCTGCACCGTGCAGCTGGGGCGGTCAGCAGAGCAGCGATTCAGGAAGAAGCCCAAGTCAGAGGGCTCAGAACTCATTGCTGGCTTTTCCCTTCTCTGGGTTTGTGATGTTGGGCAGGTTACTACTGTCTTCCTGTTTCCTCATTGGGTGGTTGTGAGGGTTTGGAGAGAGCACACAGGCAACCGAGCTGGCAGCCGCTCAGTGAAGGTGGGTGAGCCGTGATCTCGGTCCTCATCCAACTAAAGTTCATTGAGGAAATAAGCGGTGCCAGGCTCTGTTTTAAGTGCTAGGGCCACAGTGCTTATCAGGAAGCTTTCCTCCTAGTGAGGGGTGAGAAAAATAAATAAGTGAACAAACTTTAAAATAAAACTTGAATTTCTTATAAATGCTGTGAAGGGAAAGAAAAGAGGACAGAGGGATCAAGAGCTCTGGCAGCTGCCCTGTAATTGGTCAGGGAAGACTTCTTTCTGAATACTTACCAAACCCTGCTGTGTTCTGGGTGCTTGTTTTAGGGTTGAGATTCAACAGTGAGCCAAAGAGCTGAAAGTCTCTGCCCTCGTGAACTGACCCTCTCACGGAAAGACAAAAAGTAAAACAAATGAGAAATGTGGTCAGAAAGTGATAAGTGCTCAGGGGAATGATAGAACAGAAAGGAGGTAGGGGAGTGTGTGGTGGAAGAAGGGGTTTACGGTTTTAAATGGGGTGCATGGAGCCACTTGGCAGGTGACATTTGAATAAGGGCCTGAAGGTGGGGAAGGGAGTCACGGGGCGGGGGGTGGGGGAGACACCCTCTCTTCCCATTTCCTCTGCCCTGCCCAGGCCCATCTTGCCTTGTCTGTTCAGCTGTCACGTGGAAATGAAACGGTTTTGTTTGTAATTCTCTCTCTTCCTATACTCTAAGGCCTCTGAGGCTCACTCTTGTTTTTCCCAGCACCTCATGCAGGTGTGTGGCATGTAGTTGGTGCTTAATTAGTATATGAATTAAGGAATATTTATGGAACAGCCACATGCAGTTGGCATAATTCAAACAGATCTTCTCCTGTAAACTTAGTCTATACCAGAAACTAAAAATTTACAGTGGACACAGCATGCCTACATTCCACTTAATTTGTATTCAACTATACATGCTTGGTAGAAAAAATTAATAATAAAAATGATAACAGCAATAATAATTAAAGAAAAAAGAACAAGAGAAGTAACTGAAGTAGCATGAGCGGATTTAGCTTGCCACTGTGGCCGGCGAGCACTGCCCTGCAGTGTGTGCCTCGTGCTCGTGTGTGGGGAGCAGCGCCCCTCTCCCGTGGCCCATTGTTCTAGTGCCCAGCTCGGCCCACTGTGGACAACTTTGGTCTCCCAGTGAGGACATAGAGATTTTTCATAGCCCCTGTCCCAACACACATGAGAACTACATTTTCAGGTCCTGAAGCAAAAATTTGAAATATGAAACTGGCCCTGTATAGGACTCATGGAGAGAGAATGAGAGAATAAGTCTGCA